ACAGCCAGTATGAGCCATTCCATCACTTTTCCGGGGACGGAGGTGAGGCTGACTGGCCTGTAGCTGCCTGGGTCCTCCTTCTTGCCTTTTTTGAAGACTTGCGTGACATTGGCCTTCTTCCAGTCTTCCGGCACCTCCCCCCTTCTTCAGGATCTTTCAAAGATCGTGGTGACGGACTTGATTTGTGGGTATCGAGGTTCCTTAGGTGCTCTCTCACCCAATCTTCCTCTACCCAGGGCAAGTCTTCCTCTCCACCGGCTTCTTCCCTTGTCCCTAGGGCCTGGGGCTCTAAAGGGCTGCCCTTGGTAAACACCAAAGCAAAGAAGGCATTCAGCAACTCTGCTTTCTCTGTGTTTTTCGTAACCAGGTTGCCCATCCCGTTCACCAGAGGACCCACGTTTTCCCTGATCTTCCTTTTGCTGTTAATATATTTGAAGAAGTTTTTCTTGTTATTTTTAACATCCCTTGCCAGATTGTGTTCCAAACGCGCCTTAGTTTCCTTGTCACATCTCTGCGTTCCCTGACAACGTTCCTGTATTTCTCTCAGGGGTATTCATCTCAAGTTCATCTCAAGTATGAGGAATACTTGAGATGAACAGAACCTGTTAGGCTCAACATATTGTAGTACGTAGAACTGGATTAATAGTATTTGATTCTGTAGCATGGCTACTGTGTGCGGAAGAGGAGAAATGTATTATCGAGAGCTGAAGAACAGTTCTTCTGGTTTTTAATCTTTTTACTTGGCTTCTGGTTTTAAAGACCAGAGTAGGAGTAAGATTGTTCTCTGTGGCTCTTGATATGGTGGTGGTACTTTCTGTGACAGACTTTGCAAACAGGTAGTTTGCCAGGGCTAGCCTTTGAGCTAGGCCCCACAGTGTTTGTTGATCATTTGTCAGTATGGTTTTCTTTTGTGTGCAGCCTGTATTGCTTTTTCTGATTATAATATGCACATTTGGAAGCTTGTTTCGAGTTAGAACAGGTGCTATTAAGTTAGAAATGGCAAATAGCTGCTACAAGTAATAGTTGATTGCTCCCCAGAGTTGGGAATTAATATAATAAAAGATGCTGATTGTTTTGCTTGTTTACCTCTTCTACGCCAAAAAAGGTATAATTTATACTACTAAAAATGAATACGAGAGAACATAAACTGTGTTTTTGTTTGCCTGTTACATTTTTTTTTAAATGTGTAGTATGATAGATGTTAGTGCACATGTGGCCTTTGCATACAGTTCACATTTGGAGTTAATAGTCTGGCAGTTTACAGGATAATCACAAGTGTACTGTAAATTTCAATAATTTGAGTCTTATGGAACATTATAGGAAAAAAGCACATGGTAAGTTAAAAATTCAGGGTTATTGGAAATTCAAGGACATTTATCTCGCTGAAGTTTGTGCTTTCTGTCGTGCTTCGAGTTCTGTATTTCTTTCTTGGCTTTGTAACCCACAGAAGTTTTCAATTTACTCCTAGTGGAGTTGGAATACTAAGCAGTTCACCTCCATGTGATGTCTTCACAGAAACATGACCTCCTGGGAGGGGAAGGACACGGTGTTGTTTGTGCTTTCCCCAGAGTTATTTTACTTCTAGCCCGTTCAGAAAAGAAATCCACCTATCGGATATGGATGGTGCCAGGGTTGGGGGTTAAGATAAGAATTACCTTTGAATCTTTTCCACTGTTATTTTAGTAACTTGCAACTGGCTTTACATTAAATTGTAGAACATATAGGCTTAATTTGCATAAATTGTGGCTGCTGTAATGATACTTAATGAGAGAAATTTTTTTTTTTTGGAAAATGGATATTTTGACACTTAGAACTATTTATAGGAACTCCTATATATGCCTCCTTTTGAAGGATCTGATATTCAAATAGTAAGAGCTTAAATATTTTTAAACTTTTTGGAAAACCTTAACTTAATGCTAGTTCAGTATAATGTAAAATTTCTGGTATATCATGCATATTCCACCTCTGTTCTTGTTTGAGGTGGAACACTTCACTTAAGTAGAACAGCAAACATCTTCCTGTCATGCTTGAAAACCTACGCTATCACTCAGTTCCTGTCCATCATCTAGCATCCTTCCTAATTATGAGGACTGAGAAATCTCTTTTTATGTGTGTGTGTGTGTGTGTGTATATATATATATATACGCGCATGTATATACACGCATATAAGTGTATATATATCCAAATGTTGTTTCTCCGGTATGCCCATCATGCAATGCAAATAGAAAACGGAAGGTATTTTTAGAGCTATGATATCAGAAGATACAGGTTTTTGTTATTCAATTCTACCTTTATTTTTGTGGGTGTTTTTTTCATATTTCTAATTTTAGAGTAGTATTTAGAATCGTGGTATGCTCTGTTAATTCCTTTAAGACCTACATACCAAATGACAGAAAAGGGAATGTAAAAAACTGAGAAGAGCTGATAATAAATCTACCTTGTGAAATGTTGCTCATTCTTCTGTTACCTGATCGTAGCCATAAAAGGATGATAATGTGATTTTGAAAATTGAACTTTCTGAAGATTTCAACTTTCTTCTGAGATGTTTTTAATCTTTGTGTTTTAGCTGGCTTATTGCTATTGCAGAGAGTGTTCTTGCCTCCCCAGTATATGGTGTTGCTAGATATATGATATGTCTAAAGGTACAAATATAGCTTGTCTTCATGCTGGAACATACATTTGTTTAAATACAAAACTAATGAAGCATAGCCACAATATCCTCTTATCTGACTGGTTTGTGATCTCCTGTTGTAAACCTTTGAGCATTTTCTAATTTAGGTTGGTATCTGCTGAGCTGCACTAATGGCTACTGAGCCTTTTGTAAGGCAGAGGAAAAGGGCTGCAAATGTGTCAGGACAGGAGGAGCAGTAACTGCCCCTGCACAGTTTTAAGTATTTGTCTCTTCAGAGTAGGTACCCACTGAGTATAGGTGTGAGAATTTGTTTCATGGGTTTTTGAGCTCTGCTCTTTAATCTAGAGATCAGTGTCTCTAAATAATTACAGAATGCTGTAGTAAAATACTCACATCTAGGTTGCCAGCTTAATAACATGGCATTAACAAGGAGTTGGCCATTTTAACGGGCTTTTTTATACTTATTTAAAGTAAGAAGGAAACTTTTGGCATTCTCTTGCAAAGCCTAGAAGGAGTGATTATTGACACAGCTGTATTTCCATTTACTCACTGAACTTAGGCCCCTGAATTTTGATGCAATATAAATATTGTGGGGGCATTTGCATGAAACAAGACATGGTTCTTTCAAAGAGTAATAAAAACACATTCCACGTTTTTGCTTCAGTTTCTTTTTTACTTACAGTGGAAAAATAACACTTAGCTAACTTGCTTTCTTCTGTTTGCTTTGCTTTACACCGCCCAATTTGTTTATTTTTTTTGACTTTTTTTAGCCTCTGTATGTGGTGCTGGGAGACAGACTTTGAAAGATCTTTTTCTAAAGCACTAAAAGAAAGTTTCTAGTAGAAAGCAAAAACTTTCATATGAACAAAGGATAATTTTTACAGTTTTCCAGTGATTTCATTACTTATTGAAGAGTTATTCATTCAGTATTAAAGAAAAGCAGGTGTGCATTGAGCAGTACTTTTTGAACTGCTTTGGTAACGTGAACTATCCACTGGGAGGGATATTTCTTTTGAATCTTATCAAGGGGAATCTTCTCAAGAAGTCAGAAAGTTGGGGGTATTGTTTTTTGTGGCAGCGTTGTTTTTTAGTTTGCTTTGTTTTCCTTAGTGTATATAGCAGAGAAAGCCCTATATCTTCATTTAGGGAAAAGGTTGAAGGATGGACAGTTAGATCCAGGTCATCTAAATTATTTCTCTAAAAAGGTCAGAATACAACAGATTCTTACTTAAGGTCTCTTCCCTCCTCTGCCTTCCAGTGGACATCTCTGAAAGATGCTTAGTGTTGTATCCTAAAGACATTATTGCGTCATAGCAGATTTAGGAAAAGAGCTCTTGGCGTCTATGGCATATGCTTTTTTTTAAATTTTTTATTATTTTTTTTTAACCCCTGCAGATGAGCATTTTCACTGAAATGCTTTAACACTATGTGCTTCCTATCTTTTTAAGCCATCAAAAGTTGCAGTTGCTTTGTCTGCTTTTTTTCATATACATTCTTGATTTATAGCCTTCAGAGAATGGTATGTAAGTCATAAGTTTACATTTTGAAATTTGTTTTCTTTTATACTGTGGGTATGTATAGAGTAACATAATTTCATTATATGTAAACATTGATTCTAAAATTCCATATTTATGTCCGAATGGAACAATAATGGTGTTCAGAATGGCGTGAGGTGAGAGCAGAGTACTTGTTCTGTAATTCATGACATTTTACGCTAATTTGGAACTATAATAGTAAGTTTTAACTACAAGATATTGTTCTGGAAAATTTGCAGTGTATAAGACCACGGTTTCTTGGAGCCAGTAATAGCAATTAACATTTGGTAGATGTAAAACCAGAAATAAGTCTTTTGTGCTAGTTTAGATTCTAGTTCCCCTTTTTGTTTATTTAAATACAGGGCTTGTATGCTAACTCCCAGAAAAATAACGTTTATCTAGTTGCTTAGAAATTTATTCACTTGATGAGTATGGGCCCAAGATTGCGCTTTTCCCTATTTTTAAGGTGGATGAGAAGAGGGAGCTGAGGAGTTTTAGTCCATAGAGCACAACTTCAGTTTCTGGAAAAAAGTTTTGGAACACGTAATTGAACCAATTTGTTTGTAAGCACTAGAACATAAGGAAATTACTGTCAAGTAAACTGGATTTGTCAAGAACAAATAGTCAATCTAGTTTCCTACAGAGATAGAAAAAAACAGGCACAAGTAAGAAATCAGTAGATGTTATATTTTGGCTTTTTTAAAGCTTTAGATGCAAGCATGGTATTTCTATATGAAAATGAGGGAAATGTTGTCTGGATGAAAATATAGTAATGGATTAAAAATGGAGAGCCACCTGTGAACAGCTATATGGAAATGCAAAATGAAAAGTTGCAAGAAGTGGGATTTTACATAGAATATAAACCATATTTAAAAGGAAAAAAAAATTAAAGTTTTGGGAAGTGTGAAACCGAAATGAGGTTTTAGTTATGCGGAAGGACAAAAACATAATTTAGAATGATCTTGACAAATTAGAGATTTGCTCTGAATAAATAGAATTCAGTTTCCTAAGAACAGTTCTCTATTTGTACAGGAAAAAAAAAAAGATGTACAAAATCAAGATGAGGGACAAATGGTTAAGTAGCAAGTGTACGGAAGAAGGATCTGGAATTTTTAGTGGATTCCATGCTGCTGATGGGGCTAACATAACCTTTTACAAAAAAAAAAAAAAGGTAATACATCAACAGGAATAGAGCTTGTAAGACATATCAGTGTCATTCAGTTTAGTTATCTGAATCACTACTTTTGGGCACTTAAAGGAATTGAAATTTTATGTTGTGGGAGGAGTCTAGAAGGGAATACCAAGTACCATCAGAGTTTGATCTGCACAAAAAGATGGAAAAATTTGGGATTACCTGGTATAGAGATAAGTCTGAGGGGAGACGTGATAAACCTCTCAAGAAAAAACCCTTACAAAAGGAGATGAATATATTCTTCATGTTCATAAAGAATAAGACAAGAAGTAGTAGATATCAATTATGGTGATGAAAAGTTGGATTTGACACTAAGAAAAACTGCCACAATAGCTAAATATAGATTGTCTGTGAAGGTTGTGAAAGCTTCATAATTGGATAATTTTAGCGAGGAGTTAGGCACTTACCTGTCTGGAGAGTTACAAATGTAGGTTGATCTTTCTTTGTGACAAAGGGATGGACTAAATGACCTCTTAAATTCTTTTAAGCCTATTTTTTCTGACTTCTAGACACCAATTTCTAGATTATATATATGTGACTTCCAAATTGGTAGTTCGATTAAGAGCAGCATGAAAATGACCATAGGGTCAATAGAGTATTGTTTCCTAAAATCTGGTGCTTCTTTTTCTGCGTTCAGGTTGTCAGCTTATGTATCATGAGTTGAAAATGATACATGGGAGAATCTAGCCTTATAGTGTCTAAATTATGATTTATTGAGCAGTTATCCATGAGGACATGGTAAATAGTATGGTGTAGCACATTTCCTTTGTAGTGCAGGTACTGTGGTTTCATAAGAAAAATGAAGCCTGGGCTGTTGTTCTCTGCCTGTCTCTGTGCCTCATCTCTGCTCTCCCCAGTTCTGCTCTCCCCAATAGGAAAGATGCAGCGTGGTGGGGAATGGGAAGCATTTCATACCTTTATTTTGCAGAAGGAAATGAATTACAGGAAAGGAAAAGGGAATGAATTATGCTATGGTGGAAAATAGAAGGAAGGAAAAATTTAGCAAGTTAGTTTATTTTTCCCCAGAAACTCCATTTTAGTGTAATATTAATACTTCTAATAGTACTGTAGGATGAATAGGATAAAATGGATAAAACGTTTTCCAATTGAAAGAAGGCTTCACTGCTCTCATCATATTTCTGTTAGGCAGATTGCAGGCAGAACACCTGATTCTTTGTTGTTTCATGACTTCAGTCAATGCTAAAACAATAATTGAAGTCTTTTCTGTTGATTCATGAGACAATAAACACAACTTGGCAAGAGATGACACTCCTTATGTGCAGGTTTGCACATCAGAGGGTTATATCACTGTGTTTTGCTGCTTTTTAAATTTTTTCTTTCCCAGTTAGTTTACCATAAGGTGGCATCCTGGTTCTCCATCCCTTCTTTCTAAAGGGTGCAAAAGAACAACTTGAGAAACTATCTTGTACAAAAATTTGCGTTTTTAGACATACCAGAGTTACCTTTTTAGAACCACATTTCTGTAAAACATTATCTCATGTTTAAATTGTTGGAATTATTTCACTGTGAATGGTTTTTCACTGTGAATGGCTTTTTGCTGTTTTTTTTCCCAAATACTTGATTTATAAATATCTGTTTACAAAAAGCGTATGAAAGTCCATCTAGATTAAGAAAGCCTTGCATTAAAACATGTATTGTTAAAGGGGTTTGGTTTCACCAAAACATAGGACTGAGGGTTAAAGCATTTGGCTTACCCGTGTCAGGAGCAGGAATAGGAGAGATCATCATTGCTTGAATACCATTCAGGCATTTTTAAACAAGTGAAAGCATTTCATAATATTTAAAAACTCACTTTTTGCAGCTTTCCTGCCCTATGAGCATTCCCCTCACCATTTTCCATATCTCTCATTCCTGGTAAAAGACGTAATTCCTTGGAGTGGTCTCTGAAGTATAAACTACAGGGAGTGTGTGTGTGTTCTGAGGTTATAGTGGTGGTTGAGGGGAGTGAAAAGCCAGAGGTGTATAAAAATGACAATATGCAAACCCAGTTGTTCATGAGCACTGCTTCTGTGCTTCTTTTCATATATCAGCTACAGTTGCTTGTTCCTCAAAGGGTCCAGTGGGTCAGGGTGCAGAATGGATTTCAAATTGTAAACCACCGGGGTTTCTGCTCAGCTTTCAGTGTGTGGTGGTTTTTTTTTTTTTTTTTTTTTTTGGCCCCCTTCGGTATTTTTTTTTCTCTATTGCTTACTTTCTTGTGGAAAATTGAGGCTAACGGTAGATAAATGATGGATATTTTAGCTGGGGCTTGGGATTTGGATGGGAGAGGGAGTTACCCTGTAACAATGTGTCTAACAGCAGTCTTGCAATAGCCCCCATTTTATATTTGTTTTTTGTGCTTGTGCATGTTTTGTCCCACAGCCTTGAAAGACAGGGCTTTGCAAACGGGTTCTGGGGAGCTGAGTTACCTGCTGCGCTTTACTCAGTGATGTTAGGCATCAGTGGTGGTTTGATCTTGATTAGATGGAACATGATGTGAAAAGCGACAGTCTTAGTATGGAAAAGATTGATTACAAATGCTTTAATGCATTCCTCTTTTTGTTTACCCCATCCTCTACCCTGTCTTTCCTTCTACTTGCCCCTGTTTCTGGGACTGTCATTTTCTTTCATTGAAGTTATCTTTCTTCCTAACCAAAGTACCTTTTCCTTCCTGTGTTTCTTCACCAAACTTCTGCTTGTTGTCTCCTGTCTCTTTCCTTTATTCTTTTCTTTTTCCCCTTTATTCTCTGTTGAATTCTCAAGTTTGCTTTTTTTTTTTTTCTCCCCTTTTTCCTAATGTCTTTTCCATGCTCAAATATGTTTATTACGTTATCTCTTTGGTTCCTTTTCCTCCTGAACTGCCTTGGTTGGCAATATTTTGAACTGATAGTAATATAAAAGAACAAACCTGTTTTAGTGACCAGAGGATAAGAACAAGCTGTATTTTGCAGAGTTTACAATTGGAGAAAGAAGAGAAAAGCGTGAATATCTAATTAGAGCAAGAGCTTGTAAAAGTGTCAGCAGAGATAAAATTTCAAGAAGAGTAATTTTTAAGACTAATTTCAACAGTTAGTGTTTTTGACAAAAGAAATAAAAGGTTTCTGTTGCAAATGTATAGACAAATTAGGAACAACATGGAACATGATGGGCAATTACTGGCAATGCAAGCAGCAACCTAGTATTAAAAAAGGCGGAGGTGTATGTGGAAATGATTCATAAAGCCTTGGGATGAACGTTCATCCTAGAGTCTACAGAAGTCAAGGGTACAAGCAACAGAAATAGAGGCTAGGAGCTAGGCTGTTTTGTATTCTTCCCCCTGTTAGGGTTTCTCTTGACATATTAAACATCAGGAAAAAAAGAAAATGTGAAATTAGTATTTTGTCTTGGTATATCTCTACCTAATAGAGATATATTTAGAAATCTGTGCAGGATTTAGGCCAGAACTTTTTAAGGAGTGTAACACTTCGATTTTTCCTTTCTCTTGGACATCGGCTTAAAAGGTGTATGGAAGGAACAGGCTGTAAAGATAGATACCCCAAATATTCTTTAAGCTCGTGACCTGTTAAAACCATTGCATGTCAGAAGTGATGAATAGTTTTTGTGCGTCTGAGCAGGTTCCTGATCGATTGGTTGCTAGTTAATGAGGGAGAAGAAGGGCAAGGGAAGCTGAGGTGCAGCAGCCTGTGTGAGAGCACACCTGCCTCTTCTCCTTACTTCATTTTCTCGTTAATGAAGGAACCAATTGGTTTGGGACGATCAATGCTGACCTATTAGGATCAGACACTGTTCTGGCATTGCCAAGGCAATTAAATTTAGCAGCGTGGGGATTAAGAAGAAAGAAAAAGCCGGGGACTTTGAAGTGAGTGAGAGTTCCATTGATGTCTTAAGGTTGGTGCAGGAGAGAAAAAAAAAAAAAGAAGAAAAAAAAAAAGAGAGTTTAAAAGAATTAAATCATTATCATGTTCTCTTTTGTGAGATCGGGAATGATCAGATTGTTGTCATTTGTCCTCAAATTTGTGTCTCTTGTCCTGCTTCTGTGCCTGGGGGTTTCTCTACAAAGTAATATATACATTTGGAGGAGACAGTCTATTTCAAAATTCTATATTGACATTTCAACCCCCTCCCCTTTGTCTGGGCTATTCTGTGTTATTGAATTCATAAGATGGGTACGTTCATAAAATCATTCACTGCAGTGAGGGGAGGGAGCACAGCCTTAGTAAACAGTCATAACATTCAGCTCCTCTCTAAGAAGGGTAAATTTAGAAAGATTATCATGTATTTCAAAAGTTAAATAGATTACATATTTGAGATTTTGGCAGGTCTTCTGTTACCTTCTATGGACCTTTCTTAAATGGAAGGATGTTTTTCCTCCAGGAATTTCAGCCTTGCCAAAATAAATATAATTGGCAAATTGGAATTAGCTTGCATCAAGTATTAGATAAATACTGCTTCATATACTAACTTATGAATTTATTGAATGTGGAGTTAACTGGCAGTGTTATTGATATTATATTAAATAGGAGGGCATTCATTCTCTGCCTCTTTCTGGCTTGAAAGAGGCTAATACCTTTTATAATATTCATCCATTCTGAGTCCATAAATTTCTGTTTAGAAAAGGATAAAATTGTATAGACAAACAAGAAATCTTTTAAAAATCTTTCTAAAGCATAATGTAAAAAACAGTAATATCCAAGTATGATGTCTGTGCAATAAGGTCAACAGGAAATCTTGAGCTGATTTTTTTCCCCTCTTGGAAGAAGAGCCAAAGACTAACACATTAAAAATGAAGAGAGTAAAACTTGATTATCTGGATCTGCTGGCTCAAAGTTTAGTGGTTAGTCTTACTGCACTAGCAATAATATTGGGTATAAATATAAAAGAAAAATGGTCAAAGTATATCAAGGAGTTGTTCTGACTTAAAAGGAAAGAGATAAACTAGCTAGGTTGAACTTGTTCTCAACAGTGATTTGTTTAAACTATGCATTTCTACAGAAGCCAAGCTGGTATTTCAGGACCAAATGAGGTCACCAGGTGGTCAATCTCGGTCTTTAGTTAACTGAAGTTTTGTCTATAGTCTGAATACTTCATTGAAGTGCAGGTATAGAATTTCCTTTCTATAAAGGACATCAATGTATCAAGAAATAAAATGTAATTCCTCTAAAAATGTACTTTTTATGATGATGCTTTAATATTTCAAAGGTCTTGAAGATTTAACATCAAGTTTCATTTTGAATGTGTCTCAGGCCTTTGGGATTAGTATTTATGGGAATGTGAGTCATTTCAAGGTTGAAGTTTTATATGTATGATAGGCATTTTCAGAGAAAAGATTTTAAAAAATAAATAAATATATGTCTGGAGTCATAGCACAGATGCGGCTACCATGTTCTACATTTTGCAGTTATGAATAACAGACTTTCCTAATTCACTTTTTCATTATAAATTTTGTTTCTGTTTGTACATGTAGAGTATTTGTGCCTTATAGTGCAGGTCGAAAACTGAAACTCTAACTATGGAACTAAAAGCATGTGCATAGGTTTTAACATTTAAGAAATACTACTCTATCAGCAATTTATAATAGAATTATTCTTTGAAATTCCTACAAATGAACGTTGGTAATACATGCCTCATTGGATATTTTTCAAAATGATGCAGCATTTTGTGCAGGGCAGGATTTTTTTTTTTTTTCTCTCACCAAACATAGTAATACTCCTTTACTGTTTATGTAACAGATTCATGCATAACACATGGGTTCCAACCAGATAAATGTTAGGTCATTGTGCCAAACAAGCAACTGGTTTTGTTAAAAGGCCTTTTTTTTCCACAGACCTTTGTTGAACATTTTAAAAATTGAAGCTAAGAGTACTTTTTTCATTATTTTCCCCTTTGAAAATATTTTAAATTACTTTTTGAAAAGCAAACTCCTATCAAGGTTGTCTGAAAGTCTGGTAAGAATGTTCTTGATGTTACTTGCACTAAAGGGAAAGCTGTTTTCTTTGAGTAGATGTAAAAAACATTAACTAGCCTAAGAAATGTGACATTATCCATTTTGTTTACCCGTTTCCATTTCCCAGATTGGGGATAATTTTACATGATGATTAATATATGAATTTTGTTGTATAGAAAATAGCTTCAGATAGTGAACAAATGATTATCAATATTCTAGCTATATGAACTTATTGGAGCTGAAATTTATTAAGATATAATTAATAAATTTTGGCTATATTTATGAGTGGAAAATCAGCAAATAACACTGATTTCCTGAATATGAGAAATAAATGCAACTGGATGATATAGAAAATTTAGAATCTCACTATACACCATACCAGAAGTACGACGAGCAGAGAATGCAGAATCTACTCTGTGGATTGCTCTTTGTTTGTATGCCAAAAACTACAAGGCATTTGCAAGGAGATTTAGTAGCAACATAAAGAGCAAGATGTTAACTGGTAAATGAGAGGTGATTTAAATGGCCCAGGAAGTTGTGTTGCATCTCAAAACACAGACACTCTTACAGCTGGGATTGTCACCAATGCAAAATAATCTGCAAAAAATGGTAAGTCCAAGTTTGAGGCTAATATAGCTGAGTAATGGGCAGTTGTTGGAAGTCAGGAAAACTCTGTGGTCAAATGTGAAAGAGATGGATAGGGTATAGATGGAAGGATATACACTACATAGATCAATTGCAGAATTACCTTGTTTCCTAATAAAAATGGAGCTGTTGAAAATAGAAGGGTTCTTCCACATTTTATGGTGAGAGGCGCATAGGTGAGTTACTAATTTCAACTTAAATTTGGAGGTTGTATTGTAAATATGTTCAATTGCACTCTGAAGGTATTAATTATTCCAGGATAATTGAAAGGCCTAGTAGGAAGCTTACCGACACAGTTAAGGAAAGAGGGTACGAGGTGAGAGGAGTAGCTATGCTAAGAGTTCAAAACATGAAATGTCAGTTGCCACATTGGCTAGAAAGGAAGGCAGCCATGGAGGAATAGGAAGTTCCGAATCCCAAAGGTTCACTTTGGGAAAGGAAAAATAAGCCATAGTCCTATATTCATTGTAAATTTTCAGGTAATGAAAATTCAGCAGTAAATAATTTTGACTGCGTCTCTTTCCTAATAGAGATTAATTTCATTATTCTGAGAATAATATTATCATGGAAGAAAAGATAGCGTTACCCCGATAATAGCCTTCTAGTCATAACTGACATCAATCACTGCTAGGAATAAAACATTAAACGGCCAGGAGGAGCTACCTCTTGAAACATGTTTTCATTACATTAATATACAAGGATACAATACATAGACTACTTCTGTGTTCAGTGCATATCAGAACAGTCTAGTAATAGGTTGAAATTATCAGTTTAATGAAACGAAGTGGATGATTTAAAAAACAATACACCACATTGAGGTAAATTGAACTGATGGATTAATGAAGGCTAGGTCTGGGTAGACCAGATACACCTGTATCATTGGTATCCTTGCACTTTAACACTGAGAACTAGTTTCACTTTTGAGATTTGAGTCATGTTATTTAGAGGCAAAATACCTCTTACTATGCTCCAGTCCCTTAACCATCTTGGTTTGGGTGATTTTTATCTTGGACATAATAGTGTTTAAAGAAAGAGAAATATTGAAGATAGTCAGGGCCTAATTCGGTACCTTCATAAATAGTGGAAAGATTTTTCAGTGATGGTGTAAAGCTGGGATCAAGGCCTTTGTCCTTTCTGATTATTACCAATCTTTTGACTGAACAAGGAAGAGCATTATAGAGGAGAGGAATACTTGTTATGTAACAGGATCCTAGGTATCTCATTTAAAATAATCAGATTTCATTCTGTCATGATTTGGCTCCAAGTCCTTCAATTTCCAACTTCTCAATGTTTTCAGTTTTTATACGCAGTGATTTTATTTTACTTTTCTGAAACCGTTGCTGAACTTTCTCGCAGTTCTTAATGTATAGCTAAGAGGGGGATGTTCAATTGCAATTCCGTCTTCTGAATAAGTATCCAGACTAAACTCTCTTTGATAACCAAATAAATAATGTGAGGCAAATATCTACTTTGCTTAAAACTTTCTGGCCGGCCCCTCGTCTTCAGTCTTCCAAATTCCTTTCATTTCAGTTTATCTTGTTCAGGGATTTAGAAACAGCATCATCTTAGCAATAAATATTTATTTACCTAAAAGGAAATACTGTATTTCTTTTCTAATTCTGTTCTGGCTTCCTTCAATAAAAGGTGATACAAACTTTTTTGAAAATGGATTTTACAAGTTTCTAGTATTGAGCAGTAGTCAAACATTATTAATTTTAATAAATTCTTTCTTGATAGATTTCATCCTGCGTTGTACTTTGATTATACTCTGGAATCTGTATTTCAATGAAATGTTTAAGAGACTTCTTGCTAGAATGTCCTTACTTATGCTAGATCATTTCTTGTTGTCTGAAATTCATTGTGTACATTGGTGGAAGTAGCTGCTTTAGGCTTTCTCCATGACCACAAAACTCATTTCAGCGCAGAATCTACACTCATCTTGCAGCTGTTAGATATATTGGTGTGCAGGCAAGTACCGACGTTTTCATGTTCTTCGGTGTTCTGTGGGGTCTGTTATTAAGTATTTGAAGTGTGGAAGTTCAAGGTGGATTGTTTCTAGTACAAAGATGGAATATGGTTCTCTTGTAAAAAGTATTGGCAGTGATAGTGCCCTTCACTGCAGTATATTTTATTGTTCGTGTCCTGTTCAATTGTGGTGACCTGAAGGCCTTGTATAAATAACCGATGGCTCTGTTTCCCCTAAAGAGATCTCTTTCGTCCCCCAGTGCTAGAGGTGATAATGTGGGATCATCTATAACTCTCTAGTTTTTCTGGAAATGTCCAGTAATTTTGGTGAAGGATTGTTTGAGCATAAATGTGTCCTAGTTTCTCAGTTTTCCAGTGGAAATGGATTGTTAGTGTCTTGAGGCAATAGGTAATTCCTTCTTTCAGCTGTCTGTCACAGGTGCTTCTGGCACCAAATAGTCCTGTATAGATTAGGCAGCAGACACTTATAGAAATAGTGGAAACTTTTCAATAAGCGTTTGATGGCATAACATTAATGCAAGATTATGTGCAAAATTTTGCTTTACTTCACCTAGATTTTATTGCATCTGTCAGTAAAGATGTTCACTCTTGCTTCTTCTGAGTTTCGTCCACAGCAAACTTGTGTTCCAGGACAGAGTATGATTGGTTTAAAAATAAGGTTCTAGGCACAGAGATGCACAAAACCAAACTGATTTCCACATATGTATAAATTCTTATCATTTGCTAAAGTATGTTCCAACAGAATGCAAATTCATGGCTAATTTTCAGCGGCCTTTTTGATGGATAAATATCACTCAAAAAAAGCTATTTGCTGCTCACTTCATGTTTAGTTCATTTTGGAAAGATGAGAGAACTCTGTTACATACAAAATAGAAGAAATCTAGTTTAGAAATATCTTCCTTATTTTGATAGTTTCTATTTATTCTGTTCTTGCATTACCTTCAGATTGATTTTAGGATTTGTAGGAGGAGATATAAAACCAATGATTACTTTTTAGATATTCTGAATGTGAAATGAACTGTAATACTCTGATTAAAGCACCAGGTAAAGAGGTAGGGGATCTGAATTCACTTCCTAGCTCACTAAAGATTTCTCTCCTCTGTAAGTCTACTGACCTGCTTACAAGTTTTAATAGCATATTTCTTAGACATTTCAGATGCATTTATCTTTCATGTTGCAGAGACTAAGAATTGTATTTTAACAAAATGATCAAATTTTCTTGCGTTTATGGCACCCATTGTAGTGCCCCAGCCTGATAATAGTCTTTCCATGAACTAAAACCCTCTGTAATCAGTTGAGTTGGTGCAATTTTGCAGTGACTTTTTCTGAGCTATTCAAACAGTTGTCCTGACTCTTTTATTAAAGCAGCAAGAGAAATGTGATGAGTTGTATGTGGTAAATATGGTTCGGTTCTACAGTTAGAGTTTATGACAGAAAAAATGGGGAAGGAGGCAAAAAATGCTTATGTTAAAGGAGCTGTTTTTCCAAAGTATTCTCAAGAATGCTTTAAAATAAACTGGAACCTGGGTTTCTGGCCATTTTAGTATCTGTATTCAGATGTTGGAAGTTAAAGTACTTCTGCTGTCTTAGTGCTCCTGAACAATATGGGACTGTTTGGTACAGGTTAATATAGGTCTACTTGTAATGTTTATTATTTCTGGTAAAATGCAATTTTATGAATAATATTCATTTTGTAATTTATTGTGCTGTTCAGTTCAAATCTGACTTAATTAACAATTCTTAAATATACTGGAGAGTGTAAGCACTTCAGATTAGAGACTAATTAATGTAACAACCATAAATGTGTGGCATAACATTTTGCTAGTTGATATTACGTCAGATTTTTCTCATAAAGCACAACTTGATGATTGTGGAAATGATTAGTTGAATTTTCAAGGATATTAAAAATATCCTTGAATATCAGCAGTTCATTTTGCAATCTGAAAAAAAAAAGCTATCTTGCAAATTAATTAGTCTTCCTTTTTGTAGTGTCTTGATTTGTATTTCTGTAGATTTGTAGGTTACTCCATTTTTATGTGTGTAGTGATATTTCAGTAAAGTCAACAAACCTAGAAAATAATCAACTAAGGAGTTTTTTGACTACCACCAACCTTTGTAGTCTTTCAGAAACTTTGCCTTTCTGCTGTGAATGGCTACTTAGCTCATCTAGACCTGCTACTTCTTCATCCAGAAGCCACAATCTCCTGTACCTTTGACAAAAAAAACAGGTGTATGTCTAAGTAAATATTAAGTGGGCAGATATTCTTAGTATTGACGATATAAATATGTGACAAAAAAGGCAATTGAGAGAATCAGAATGCTTTTTGTTAGTGGGTCTCCATTGATTCAGTGACTTTCTTGTACAGGCAATTTAGAAGCAAGAAGAAACTGCAGTAAGACTTTGATATTTCTTCATGTAAGCAGTGTAACTACTGATTTGAAAGAATATTTTGTTGCATAATAAATTTGTCCCTGAACGAACAATCCACTAAATTGTCTTCTGAATAGTCTCTCAAGGCATAATTCTCAGACAGGGGTGACTGTGTCACTATTTGTTTTGATCTAGAGCATCCTGTTGAAGGAAGGTCATACCCAAGTAAAGCTTTAATATCTAAAGTTGACGAATATAAGAAAGTTGCTCATTTTGGGTATAACTTCATATAAACTATTTTTAACTGCTTTTAAGAGATCATCCTGAAAATGTATATGTCATCTGTGTCTGACGTTTCTCCTTTAGACAGAGTAACAAACTATAATTTCAGATAAGGTAATTATTTGGCTTATGTGCTATTATTGTTATTTTTCTTCATTACTTTCTGATAGCAGTTTCTGTAAATAGTTTTTGGCCAAAAAAAAAATCATGATGCTTTAGACTTTTCACTGCTGAGTTGTGCATTTAAAAACTGTCTAGCTATGAAGAATTTACTAAAGTAGTAGTATTTTCTCTGTTCTCTGGCTGTTGCAATGCATAACAAGTTTATATGGGTGACTTCTGGGCCATTATGTGCTTGTTGTAAGTGAAAATTTGTATAACAAGTGTTAGTAGTGATGTGTGGAATGCAGTGCACGTTTCTTTTATTGCAAACTGAGTGCTATGTATACAGTTGAAATTTGTGCAGATACCCCCCCCTCCCCAATCTTTTGGAGATTAAATGGCAGAGATTGTGCTCCTGTGTCAGGTTTTATTTTGTAATGCCTTATATGCAGCCGCATATAAATTCTCTGCCTGTTGTTAACAGAGGTTTTTGTTCAGTAGCTAAGAGATAAAATCCCTTGCTGGCAGCTGCCCTTGAAGTGTGTGTAGGTTTGTCATCCATGACCTAAGGCTTGAAAAACTGAGCTTTATGAATTTAATAGATAGAATTTTTTTCAGTAAGTAGTCACTGAAATTACTATGTATGTAGCTGTAACAGATTGACACAGCATGGAAATGAAAAGTTAAACCAAGTAATAAAATTCTTCGACCTCGGTGGCTACAGGATTTTGACGATTTTGACTCTTGAACAAGTCTATCATAATAATAACCTTTAAAAAGGTGTAATTTGTAACTTGCTGTAGTTCCTCCATACAAAACAAAGGCTTTGGAAGCTTTGTTGTGTTACAAGGGAAAGGGTTTGACTGATTCTGCTAGCTGAAAGTAGGGCGTTAGTTGTGGTGTTATAGGGGTTTTGCTCCTACAAGCATAAAATCTCCACTGTTAAAGAATTCGATGTTTCTTATAACCTATAAGTCACTAGTTGGTACAGTATTTTTATTGCAAGATTTTCGTTAATAAGATAAGCTTATATGTTAAAACAAAGAACCAGCAAAGCCGTCTTTGTTTCACATCTGAGTAACTTGAATATTAATATGAAAAGCTTTATCGTAAATGTTTAAATAAGGCAAACTTTGCATAATATAATGAATTACCCCACACTTCAGCATTTAAGAACTCATAAATTACACATTAAGCCAGCAGTGTTTTTGCATCTCTTTCCAGCCATATCCAAATACAAGCATTTGGGCTTGTAGTTTGTTGTTTGTTTGTTTTTTCATAAAATAGATTTTAAAAGAGATTTTCTTGTCTTTGTGCAGGAAAATTCTCCCGTCAAAAGATGGAAAGCCCTTTTAACTTTTTTTTTTTAGGGATGATGTGCACACTGCTTTTGCCTATGATTTAATTCTGACAAGGCTTCTTTCTTCCTCCTCACCCTTTTTATTCTTTTGCCATGACTGTTGATTCAGCTGACCAGGTCCGAGCAGTTGTGCGTTCCACTGAGCTGTCAGTACATGTGGTTTAGATGGCTGTGAGTGACTCTGTTCCCTTTTTCACTAAAAGGCAAGCAGAATGTCATCTAATTCGTTGTGTGCTGAGCTGTAACTCCTACCTCCCTGTGCAGATAATCAGACTATGGTTGGTAATGGTTTCAAAGCAGTTATGGAATGTATGAAGCAAGTATTGCTGATAAAATGCTCCGTGAATGAGAGAGAAAATGCCAAGCTCTTAAGAGCAAATTTTGCACCTATTGCATTTTAGCTCTGTATGAGTTCCCTTTTGCTCTTCTGGGTTGCACTGGTAGTAAGTTAGTTGGAATATTGTTGCAAAATACCTGCTAATTTCCTTGACCTCTGTTTTATTCTAGTCTACTGTCTCAGTACTCTTACAGGGTTAGAATCTGTCCTTAATGTATTTCAGAAACGGTCTATATTTTTAGTAGTGCTGTTAGAAGAAGAATTAAAAGTAACCCAAGAGTTTGTATGTTTTTCTGCTTTGGCACATATGTCCCAGGTAGTTTCCTGATGCAGCTGTCTGAGCTGTGATATTAGGAGTTCTCTAGGGTATCCCCGGTTGATTCAGTGGTATCCTCACCAGCAGCTGTTATCTGAACTAAATGAGTCAGCTGTACAAACAGAAACAGCACAAGTAAAACATAAGGTAGCCATTTAGGAATATAATAGGAATATTTGTAGCCATGACAGAGTGTTCAAATAATAGTTTCATGTAAAGGTGAAGAATTGCTGGGGGAATAAATGAGGGCATTGCAGCCTAATTAATCAATCGAGACAGTTTGTTCAAATATTAGTAGTTTATGATTCTGTTGTGTTCCAGTAGAAGTCACTGTTCCCCTCTAATTGAAGAAAATAATTTTCTTCTACCATGTCTTGGATGTCACCTATTAAAAATATTGTCCTTGGTTTGTTTCCTTTTGTTTTTTGCCTCTAATTCAGAGGACTGCAAGAACTACAACCATGTAATATGGGAGGTATAATTTGAACACCCCTCCTCAAGATGAACAGAGATAAAGATTACTTCTTAAAAAGTAAAGATTATTTTCCCCATACTTGAACAGGTGAAAGGTAGTTGTAAAGCAATGCAAAGTTTGGCCTTTACTCTTAAATATCACAAAGAATCAAGATTAAACCACTGAGTGAGAGAGTGCCCAGGTTCTGCAGAATCTGTCCCTGATTCTGTTAGGGGAATGTGATCCCTGAAGCGGACCTAAGATACCCTAAGAATACATATTGAGATAGTGGTATTGAGATACACGTGCATGCACATACACACATGTATATTATATGAATGTGTGACTTTATATATAGATATGTATATTTTAAAAACAAAAAGTTGAGGATCTTTCTTGTGTTGTCGCAGCTTTGTGCCAGCTAAAATCAAAGTAAATTAGGTTTTAGTAGTGATACAATGTATTGAGACAAGAAACAATTAACACAGTTTTATTTTCTAAATTCTTTGAGGCAAACAGAAGCTTCTCTAAGTATGTCAGTAATGCGCAGTTAATTAGTCTAGAGTGTATTTTGTGCAAGCAACCTAATTCATTCAATACATCTTTCTTGCCTTAGTCAAACTATTGTGTCTCTGAAGCTTGCCAACCTCATGGACTTAAAAATGCTCCAAGATAATTTCTAGGCTTGGTGATTAAAAACAGTTTATCTTTTTAACTGGGTATGATGAAGAATGTAAGACAAAATTACTACATTAGTGAAAAGCTATTAGGTTTGAACTATAATTAGACTACATAAATGAAAGGTTGCTTTATATAACATACAAAGGATATTGCTGAAGATTCATATATGTTGATATTTCTTAATTGAAATATGGGTAACTCATCATCTGGGGTAATGTTATTTGTTCAAGGCAGCTTCCAGTGTTGTTTAGCTTTGAGATGGTGTACAATACATCATTTAAGCTTTTCCAAAATATATGGTAAGAGCTCTCAGATGCCTTCAGAACATGCAGGGAGCAGACTGAGGCCGGATTAAGGTCTATTTATTAGAGGGTGAAGCCTCTAAAGTATTATAAAGGGTGAACAGTTCTCAGGAGTGGCTTTATTTGATTTTGCATTAGAGTTTGAAAGTTCAGGCTATATAACCAAGATGGTAACCTAAAGGTAGTTTTGTTTTAGTAACATCTGACTTTTAAGATACTTTTTTTGTAAATTGATAAAAGATACAGCAACAAAGCCAAGGCATCTTGTGCATCCACTGCATCCATTGCAGCTTGTGCAAACAAGACATGTTTTATTGAGTTTGGGCTTGTTTGGGGTATATGAATTCTCTAATAGTGGTGGAAGTAACTGGTAATGAGTTTGTGTGTATAGTGTTTTGTTTGTTTGTTTTCTTTAAATCCTCTCTACAAGTAGATTCAGGAAGTTATTTGCAAGTTCAAAATGTTTTTCTGTTTTAAGCACGTATTTGCACTAAGTCGATTTCTGAGCTGGAGGATCCTTTTTTTCTTTCTTTTTTTTTTTTTTTCTTCTCTCAACAAATCAAAGTCTTGAAAGATCGCAATAAATTTCACAGCTCTTAAATGTACTGCTTTTCTCAAACTCTGCTAGAGCCAGTATCCTGAACAGATGCCATTTCTGCTGTGTTATTTGTATTTTTTTTTAACTATAGTTACTTTATTCTTACAGCTCTGCACAATACAGTCCCATCAAATCATTTATACTTTGGTGCATAGAATTTTGCTGTATTTAACTTCTACTTATCTTTTTTCCACAGGTACATCCGAATTGTTGGAACCCACAACACAGTGAACAAAGTTTTCCATATTGTGGCATTCGAATGCATGTTTACCAACAAAACCTTTACCCTTGAAAAGGGTCTGATAGGTAAGAGACCTAATACAGCCCTTTTCCTTTTATATGAATATCTGTGAATTGCTGCCAACAGTTCTGTTATGAAGAGTGACCAGCACTGCATTAGTATCTCAAATTACGGCAAGTCCTGTGCTACGGCTTCCTTGCAGGTTGTCTAACTTGCATTAAATGATGCTGTAGGCTTAGAGGTAGCTGGCTTGTCCTTTGTCCTTATGACTACTTTGAAATTCTATTTCTGTGGATATATTGAATGATGATACAAGAATGCTAAATTTTAGATTCTGATAAAAAGATGCTGGTAACATAGTCACTTTGTTGATTTTTGTTAATGTGTTTTTTGTTTAGTTGTTTGTGTGTGGTTTTTGTTTGTTTTGTTTGTTTTGTTTTGTTTTGCATTTCATACACAGCTGCTCTTTCTTCTAGCTAGATTATCCTGAATTTTGCAACCATTTAGGCTATGGTTATTAGAACCAGGTCAATGTGTTACTTGATCTCGTGTACACGTATATGTGGATTCCATGATCAAATTAGCTGCGTGTGACCCGTGTGCTGGGCTAGAGCTCTCTTCACTCCTGGAGCTCCTCTAGCCGTATGAGAGCCTGTCTACAGAACACCTTCCTCATCCCTGGACCTTGTAAAGCTGCTGTGTTTGCATGTTATGGCGCAACATTACTGGAGAGTGGTACTACAAAGTAGCACACGTGTTTTGTATTAACTGTGCAGTTAATATCTCAGCTGCTCTGATGTGGCCAGCAGTGGTGATGTTTTCTGCTTCCGCTCAGGCATATTTCCATTAGCTGGTTAATACAACTGTGAAGTTCAGCATTTCAAAATAACTGTGGTATCTTTGATTGTTGGCAGCCTTTTCCACCCGGTATACCTTGAAGTCATCCATTAGGAGCCTCAGTTGTCACTAGGATCCCTGCATGCCTTGGCTGAGCAGCTGTCAAATAGCAATGCAATGTACGGTTAGCCACCTGAAAACAAGATTTCTGGGGTATGTCTGTCAGGATTGAGGTTGACTGGTGTTCCTTAGTGGGATCCACATGTCAGTCATTCCCTGTAGGTTGCTGGCAAGAACATGCAGAGAGACACTGCAAAAGGCTGAGTGTAAAAAGCTTAAATGACAGCTGCAGCTTGCTGCAGTATTTCCTCTTATTTATGTGGGATGCTCTGGCAGACTGGATTAAGTCACTGACCACCACTTGGTATGCTGTGACATTGTACTTCTGAGGTTTTTAAAGCAATTTCTGCATTTTAAGTGCATTCCTGTGTTTATTGCTCTCTTTCTAGAGAGCAACTGATTACCGATGGCCATACTCGCTTTGTTTCTCTTGACTAAAGCTGAAAAACTAACTCCGAGTCTCAGGAGCAGCAAGCTCTGTACCAACTCATAACAGGCTTCTTGCATATGCATATTATAGGATATATCATGGGATGCTGAGAAGCCTGGGAAGCTCTTTGATAAGGGATGTGATGATAGTGTGAAATAGATAGTAGAGCCCAGGTAGATTTTGTGCAGACAAGGCCCAACACATAGTGCTGCTCTTTGAGTTCCCTGTAAGCGTCCTTGCATATATGCCTTCCTTTAGGATCCAAATAAATCCACAGTCTCCATCAAAACCCATTGAGAGTCATGGCAAATAGTACTACCTAATGGTAAGTGTTGAGTGTCAACCCTGGTAGACACTTATTTGTGGTAATGAGTGGAACCATGCTGCTCTCCAGATTGGGTGAATCGGGCTCTTGTATATGTAAGTCTCTTGAAGTGATCTGCAACAAGCAAAGAGAGGTCTTCAGCTTCTTGATATTGAAGGGGTGGAAGTCAATACAACTAGAAGATTAAAAGAGTAAGAATTCATAAGTGGCTAAAAGGAAGAGAGTGTTAACTTCTGATTGTAAGCGAGGCAGCAGCAGTTGGGTGCCTGACCTCGCAGGATTTATTGTGAGCAAGGGAAAAATTAAAACGTTTGGGGATTACTTGTGAAATGTTGCAGAGCTCATTGGTTGCTCCATTAGAATTTAAGCCTGAGTTACCTCTTCAGAAGTGTTCTTAGCAGCTTTAAAACAGCAAAATGACCTTATATTCATGTAGTGCTAGTGTTACATAGCTGCAGTCATTAAAGTAGCACATTGTGTGGCTTCCTTGATCAAGCAAACCGTCCCAGTTCCCTTCCATGTGAGTTTTCGGTCGATAGGGTGATTGACGCAGATTTATCTTACTGCTCTAATGAAGACTTTGAATGTCTCTCATTCTCCAGTGACAGGATAGTGTAGAGGGAACTAGAAGGCAGCTAGAAATTATCGACACAGTATATGAAATTGCTTTTTGAGCATAAAAGCTTTCATTCTAAACTCTTTAAAAGCCAAGTGAGATAGAGTTACTGGATTCATTATTTTTGTAGTTTGGTCTAGGCAAGAGCAAATACACAGCTGCTGTTTCTAGAACCCATTTTATTAAGGAAATGAAATGTTGGTCAGCTGCTGAAGGCCACATGGTCCTTTCTGAAAGTCTGTGCGACTCTGAGCTTCTACCAAAACCACATTAAAGATAATATCAAAGGAGTTTGTCATTTGAAATTTCATTCCAAAGAAGTCAGACCACTGAGGTATTTGTTCAGGGTTATTTAAGAGTAGTCATTTAATTTTCATTAGATCTATTGCACTTGATCAGAAAGCTGTGTATATAGTGGGTAATTTATCAGATATATTATTACTGATGCGCAAGTATCTATGTAATAACTGTCACTGTAAGCTGAAGATTAGAAGGCTGGTAAACAAGTAATAAAAATGAAGTGTCATTTCATACATTAAATTGATAGCTGCAATTTTATGTGGCTGTGTTTTTACATACAAAGTTTTCAGGACAAACCATTAACTCAGCTTAGTGAATTTAAAAGTTTGTATGGACAGCTACAGGATACAGTACTGCATACTGTACTCTTATAACCTTGTGGCAATTGCCTGGCAGTCCTGAGCTAAAAGCAGCAGGAAGGGCTCTCTTTAGCCCTGTCTGATGTTTTCGTGTTGGTTTACAGTTCATTGTTTTGTTAAATGAGATGGCATAAATGAATTCAATCATATAAAGTTATTCCGTAATCCATAATACAGGTGTTAAGGTTGAGATGTAATTTTCCTTTTGGCATATTACTCTTTGTAGGTTAATAATCTTACCTACTTTAATCACTAGATTTAACATAAAAATCCTGTTTAGTATGTAGATAAATATTTTTAAAATCAGAAAACAAAACAATGTTCACTTTTGATGAATTTCATCTTCTGAAGTTTTGAATGGTCTTTAGTCTTAATATTTACTTTGAAATCCAAAACAAATTTTTTCAGAAGTGGTAGACGTTTTTTGGATACAAGTCCAAGACAGGGTGTACTACGACGCTTTGTAAAAGCTTTTCGTCTGCACACTGGCAAAGGTCTACAACAGCGGGCAAGAGGCTTCTTCTGTACGAAGCCATTGGAGTTTGTTTTTACCCTAGTATGCTGGGACCTGAGCCTTTCTCTAATTTTAGTAAGGGAAAAATGATGATAGCTTAAATTAGTCAAAGGTCCTCAAGTTGAGTCTTCCTGTTGAGTCCTCAGGGCTGAGGGACTGTCAAGGACGATTGCAAGCACAGAGGTTTTGAGTAGCCTACCGTCCTGCCTGGAGTCTGGTTAACGTGATGGAGAATGCAGCCTGGAAGGCTTGTCTTGAGCTGGGCAGGTCTGTCCCATTCTGTGGGACTATTTTATGTTGGTTACGTTACCTGCCAAAGGGGGTGGATGTGGTGACTCCAAGCCACTGGAAGGTCCTTGCTCCCCTTCTGGGCGGTGCTGTTCAGTCCCTGCAAATCCTTGGAACCTCTGTTGTACAACTTGCAGTGCCTTGGAGCTCGTTTCAAAGGGGAAAAAAGTGAGATGATTAAATAATCATTCACTTATCTTTTACTCAGTGGCAGTAAAAAAAGAAAAATGTGGAAAAGAGAGAAACCAGTTGTATCAGTTTCTTAGTGTGGGGTACAGTTTTGTGAGATACTGCTGTAACTCTCTCCCAGGGAAGCACTAAGATGTACTTTTTTCTTGTCCAGTTTAGCATTGAATCTGCACAAAGCTGTTGTATTCTGTTTCTTCTTCACGTTTTAAAGGTTAACCTTCTTTCAAAACTGTACAGGTTTTCCTAGCAACATACAGGAGCTTCGCTGCAAGCATAGCCTTAGGAAATTATGAAAATTTTAAGGTTATCCAAGTACTGTGGGGTTTTTTCCCCTCTCTTTCTACAATGAAAAATCAGCTACATGATCAGGTTAGTTTTTTAGCAAAGATCTATTTATATACTTCCCATTCCTCTGCCCCACTACCAGTTTCAGCACTGCAACAAAGGCTGCTTATTCCTAAGCTTTTCTGAAACATTTTTTTTCTGAAAGTCTGCTTCAGGCTTACTAATGTTTAAAGAAACTACCCTGTAGCTAGCCACCTGGGTCACAGGGAAAAGTAGGCTCAATTCTAATGACTGGTTTTTGGTGTGATTTATTGGATCAGAAATCATAAGCCATAGGAGATATCAGGTGAAAAATCAGCCTTGTTTTGCCTTAGTTATTTTAATCCAGACTAATATTTGCAGAGAGTATTCAAGATTAGTGGGATTTTTCTCTTTAGGTCTGTCTAATTTTCATTTCTCCTCTTTTCCAAGTAGCAGATACCAGTATGTAAGTATGCAAGTTAAGTTTCAATTCTAGTGTAATATTTGTGCTATGGATTAGTTTTGTTTTACTAGCAGTGCCATCTAAATCAGAAGGATAGTCAGATTCTTTTTTTTTTTTTATAGGGTCATGCCATGAGAACAGATGAAAGGGCGGAACATGGTTCTGCATATATCAATCTCAGAACAAGTACCATGTATTTGCATGTACTTAAATAGGTCTAACGCCACTAAAATTGTACAATGATTTTAGTACAACACTGCATTTGAGTGGTTTTAAGAAGGAAAGTTTGTTACCTTGAGTACAGCGTATTTCACCTGG